GTTTAGAATATGGAAGGCGAAGATTGCACATTAGAATCAATGAACAAGAACATAATAAGGGAAACTTGCTGCGTTGGTCCCTAAGGTTATTTTGATAAAATTGATCCAAAAGTTCAAATATATACCAATCCCATTTGTAATGTTGTAATTATTAATAAAAATAGAAAATAGAAAATTGACAAATTTGGCTAATTTGCTAATAGTGATTAGGGCTGTTAATCGAACCGGGCAACTAGCGAGCCGAGCTCGACCCGGCTCGATAAGGGCTCGGCTCGGCTCGTTTACAGAGAGAAACGAGCCGAGCTCGAGCTCTAATCAGTACTTGTTTAATAAACGAGCCGAGTAGGGCTCGGCTCGTATAAGCTCGGTAGGCTCGAAAGATAGGGGCATTTTTATCATTTCAGCGTGTAAGTGGTACTCTAAGTCATCTTCCGTCTGCTGTAGCCCTAATTCCTCCTTTCCTCTTTTGGTATTTCGTTTTCCCGTCCCACAGGCCACAGCCGTCACCCCGCAGCCGCACCCCAATCCTTGCAGCCTCCATTCTCACGCCGCACCCCGCAGCCTCCATTCTCGCCGCCAGGCGCCATCCTCCATTCTCACCGCAGCCTCCATTTGCACCCCACCCCGCAGCCTCCATTCTCACCGCCAGCCTCCATTCTCCTCAACTCTTTTCCCGTTCCACACCTGCAGTCGCAGCCGTACCCTCCTAACAAAAGCAGCCCACTGAATCAGGCGACTGAATTCCATCCTTGGCCAGTAGCTCGCCTGATTCTCGCCACCGTCACTGACTCACCATACGGAGCTGCCATACAGAGCCACCTCGGTAGAGCCAGGGGCCTCTACCATACCCTGATTCACTGCATTCTGGTAAGTAGTGACCCCGATTCTTTTTTTCTTTTTTTTTTTCCTTTTCTTTCTTTGTTTTTGGGTTCAAGAATTTAAATTTCAATCAATTTAACAAGCACACATGTATCGAGCAGATTAGAGTGTGCTTGATGATTATATACTGATTGTTGTATCTGAAAAAGATGGTATTGAAGATTGGCAAATATACTAGTAAATTAATAGTGAATGTCGAAATTGTCTTCAAGTACTGTTTTTTTTCTAGAGTGTTTGTTGAAATATTTATATAGAATGATTATTGTTCACATTCATCGAAATTGTTCTATTTTCTATCGCTGGAGTTGGATGTTGACGTTAATAAACGAGATAATGTTTTTGGCCCTATGGCTGTTTCCAAGTTTTGCACTAATTAACTGGCCAAGGATGGTAACATCTACATCAGTAGGTTCCTGCTGATTGCTATTTGGGTCGTTAGTTTGTTTAATTAGTTTTTCTTTTTGTGGTAAGAGATGTGTGTTTAATTGCTACCAGTTCCTCTTATTTTCGTCTACTTAATTCCTTTTTTAATCACTTCTTTTTTTCCTTTTCTTGAAAAATTAGCTAGCAAATTTAGTATATACACACACACACACGCACATATACTGGGACCATTATATGAAGATGTGGGAGAAATTGCAGCTCCGATTGCTATTCGATTATTGGTCTGGGCAAAGCCTGAGCATAGCAAATTATAACAACTTGTGGCTTGATATGCATCACTTTGTACATCATTCATTGAATTAGCTTGATGAATTTGGTCAAGTTAATTACGATTAATCATAAGTTCCTTAAAGAAGATGAATGAATGGCAATAATTAATGTGACTGCCACTTAGACACTTACTGTCCAATATGTAAAAAATCTTGGAAAGCTGTCCCTATACAGCTCTGGGCTAACCTGCTAGAATTAAATGAATTTAGGATCTATATATGGCTCCATACACCCAACAAAAAAAAATTTCAACGAATTAGAAAGGTGGTTGAATATGTAATAAGTGCTTTCGATATCAATTTTGAGCAACCAACTATTCACGTACACTACCTTCTATGTATGCTTTCCAATCAAAAGAAGTAGACTGACTTCCCATTTCAATTTGAAAAATGAATTATGTCAAATATTTGTCTCTCTGAAAATAAATCAGGCAGATTTTCTTTCATTGCCCATACTCATCTTTTGTTTTGTAGGAATCACTTGATGTGGCCGAATCAATCACATTTGAGGAAGTTGAACTTCCTGAATCATTCACGAGCTGATTTGGTGGCTGTTGATGTTGCTTGGTGGCTTCTGATATGTTTGGTGGCTGTTTATGTAAACTTTTGATGTTGTAATCTGATATTTGGTTTGGACATGTTATCTGATATGTTTGGTGGCTGTTTATGTAAACTTTTGATGTTGTAATCTGATATTTGATTTGGACATGTTATCTGATATGTTTGGTGGCTGTTTATGTAAACTTTTCATGTTGTAATCTGATATTTGGTTTGGATATGTTATCTGATATGTTTTGGACATGTTGTAATCTGATTTGGTTTGAATATTGTAATCCGAGTTTTTATATTCGACCTGGCTTGCAATATTTGGCTTCAATTCGAGCTTGTGGAATTGAAGATGATATATTAGGGAATGTGCTCTTCTTTTGTCCGACTAAATATGAGTTTGCCAGGAACTGATATGCTCTCACCCGTAAACGAGCTCGAGCTCGAGTTTCGAGCTCGCAAAACTCGGCTTGAGTTCATCTCGAGTTCGAGCTCGAGCTTCGAGCTCGACAGGACCGGCTCGAACTCAAACTCGAGTTCGAGCTCGAGCTCTCTACCAATATATCGAGTCAATCTCGAGCCCCTTATGAAGCTCTAATTAGTAATCGAGCGAGTTCGAGCTTCGATTGTCATATGCTCGAGCTCGACTCGGCTCGTTTAACAGCTCTAATGGTGATGGCCACATGGATGAGTTAAAATTGTAATAAACAAGTATTTGGCATTTTTCTATACACACAAAAGCAATTTCAGTTTTAGTTTAAAGACATTTTAAACTATTAAAAATTGCTAACTGAAACTAAACTTGCCGTCTTGTCGAAAAGGTTTTGATCTAATAGTTAAGGTTAATATCCTATCTTAGAAATTAAATGTTCTAGGTTCAAATGCCTCATTTCTCGTTTCTTAAACTCCACTGCTTCCTTGAAAGAAACAAAAAACTGAAACGAAATTAACATTAGCAGGGAGGAGAGAGAAAGATAGAAGAATACTTTATACTGGCCACAATTTATCAGACTAACTGTCACTTGGTTTGTATCTGACTGTTAGAGTTAGCAATTTCTAATTAGTTGTTGTCCTTTTGTCGGCATAAGAAACATTAGGAACTAAAGTCTAAATTCTGTGGAGTAAATTTTCTTTTTGGTTTGAATTTGGAAGCATTACCGACAAGATTTGACTTTGCAATAGCATTAGTAGGGTTGAAAGATGAATTAACCCAATTAAATTCGATTTGATAAGAATTTATTTAAACTTGATTAATCAATTAATATCTTTACACGGTATTAAGTTACAACCTATGCAAAAATAATAAATTTTAGGGTAAACAACAAAAAAGCCCCCTGTGGTTAAGTAATCATACATAAAAGCCCCCTGTGGTTTCATATCATACCAGTCGATACCCCGTGATTTGAATTAACTTGAAAAGTTGACGGAAATTGTCAAAACAGACGGAGCTGAGTGAATAGACGAAAATACCCTTTTAATATAAGCGAAAATTGCAGACAAAGACTTCAAAAACCAATCAAGTTTAGATAAAGTCTGTCTTATCCCAAAACCCACCCCAACCCATACCCCCAAGGGCCCTGTCTGGACTTACCCCAAATAACTAAGAAGTTCAGTTGCAGATGGCTGAAGAGCAGAGTCAAACAAAAGAAACAGAAAGCAGCACGAACTCTATTTCCACAAAAATGTTTTAGAACAAACAGAAATATGCAATCTAATTGTTAGAGTAGAAATAAAGAAACCTTTAATGATTCTCATGCTACTCCAAAAAATTCACGTGTAGCTGCCAAACAAATAAATCACAAGTTACATAAGTTGCACCAGGAATCAAATCCTCAGTCCTGATAGGAGGCATGTCACTCTTCCTAATGGGTCTTGTTCGCTTAGATCGAGCAGTAGTGGAGCTTCCATCTGATTTAGCAGAGGAATCTTCGTTTGTTTCAATAGCATCTAATGGACTTTCAGAGACTTCACCAGTATCTTTATCAGCTCCAGGCAAATCAGTCTCTTCTACTGCTACATCAGTCTTGGTTGCCAATACTATATGGCCCCTCTGCCTTCCTTCGACAATTACATACCTTGTACTGGTATTGAAGACCTCTGCCTCCATTTCCCCCGCTTATTGGTCGAGAGCTTGAGGAAGACATCTTGGGGTACTTTCTGCACTTTTCCTACAGAATTTGCAGACCGAATATATACAGATACAGTTCACATTTTTACCTTAAGGCTTTGTTTCCTGCAATTCCTTTGCTAGCTTGCAAGCTCTGCTTGATTGATTACTTGCACAGGCTTCGAATGCTGCCTTCAATCTTCAATTTTGGCCGAACATGAAGACTCGGAAGGCTTGGAAGCTGGTCTTTTATTATTAAAGAGTGAAGGGTAAAGTAGGCATATCACGTGAAAGTTTGCAGTGGAAATCTATTTTTCGCATATGCACGCGCCTTTGCAGTTCGTTTAAGACACACGCTGAATATTTGACGATTTCCGTCCACTTTTCAGGTTAATTCAAATCACGGGGTATCGACTGGTATGATATGAAATCACAGAGGGCTTTTATGTATGATTGCTTAACCACAGGGGACTTTTTTGTTGTTTACCCTAAATTTTAATATTCATAGAAAATTATGTCCTCCTATCAAGCCTATCCATCCATTTCAAGTTAAATCAATTTCCACTATTAAATGCACCCCACATTCACCAATATAGGATTGTAGTCTTGTAGAGGCCCTTAAACGTGGCATACTCCTCTGGTGCTGACCAACTGCCCCTGGCTTTGTGCGAGCAATTATATTCAGCTCCCAAGAGGAAGTTGTAAGCTGCAACAGAACATTTTCATGAAAAATTGTAATGGCCCACTTTTCAGTAATGGTAGGAGACCACTATCTATTGCTTCCAATCTTCCTCCTACCTTTGCTCTATTTCATCTCAAAGCAACTCAAATCTTCTTCTACATCGGGCAGACCACCACTTCCACCAGGTCCAGTTCCATGGCCTATCTTAGGCAACATTCCTCATATGGGAAAAATGCCTCATGCCACCCTCAGCAATCTTGCTCAAACATATGGACCCCTCATGTGTCTTAAACTAGGCACTCAATACTTGGTCGTGGGTTCATCACCAGCTGCTGCAATTGAACTCATGAAAACTCATGATCGGACTTTTTCTGCCCGGTACGTTCCCAAGGTTGTCCCTGCTGATCAAGAAGAGCTGAATTATTCATCAATCGGATGGAACGACGAATGCAGTGACCGATGGAAGTATCTAAGGACACTATGTAGAAGCGAGCTTTTCTCCGGTAAAGCCCTGGAAAACCAATCCTGTCTAAGAGAGAAAAAGATTTTTGACATGGTTGAGCATTTGAGGGCTAAAGAAGGTCAAGTTGTGGATTTTGGAGAGTTAGTTTTTGCAACGATTTTTAACATGTTGGGTAATGTATTGATGTCAAGAGATGTTGTTGGTTTGGAAGAAAAAAGGGCTGATGGAGGGTTGAAAGGTCTTGTTAGAACAATTATGGAGGTGGTTACTGTTCCAAATATATCAGATTATTATCCATTTTTTGACAGGTTTGATCTTCAGGGTGTTCGAAAGAAGACAAGTGAATTGGAGAAAAGGATTCGTGCTATCTGGGAACCAGTCATTGAAGAGAGAAGACAAAAGGGTGGTCCTTTGGACCAGATAGACTTTCTGGAATCACTGATAGAGAATAATTTTACCAATGATCGAATCCACCAATTGCTCTTGGTACTCTTTATTCTTTACCTAAGCGTGCACACACACACACACACACACACACACACAACACAGAGTCAATGTACACATCCACCTGTATTTATTTGTATGTGTTGAGCATGATAATTTCAAGCTTCTGCACTGTTTGCCCACTTATCTTTGGCCTCAAGAACATGAGCTAAATCTCAAGAAGATGAATAAGATTAGAAATCGGATGCAACTGGAAACAACAACGTAAAATCAGTTGCATTTCTAGATTTCTCGTGTATATGTTCTATCTGTTATGCTACATCTTTGTGACTGATAAAATCGGCTTCCAATATATATCTCAATGAGGCAGACACAACTAGCAATAATTTTCTACAATAATCATGTTAAGTTATTACTTATTCAACTTGAAGTAATTTATGTTATATATATCTAGAAAATTATATCCCTAATTATTCATACCAATTTTGTTTTAAGGCACAAAATTAGACACTATCATGAATTAAAATTCAACCAAAATTATTTTTGTTGTCTGTGAAAGGAACTTATTGAGACAGACCCTTACGACCACTCTGTGAAATGTGCATCAAGATATTAATGCGAGATTTTAAAAAAAAAAAAAAATTTACTGGTGTAATGTAGGAGCTGTTCACTGCTGGGGCCGACACAAGCATTTCAACAATTGAGTGGGCAATGGCAGAACTAGTGAAGAATCCAGAAATCATGAAGAAAGTACACGAAGAGCTTGACAGAGAGTTCCATGACGATTTGCCAAACGAGTCTCAATTGATGCAACTACCTTATCTTCAAGCCTGTATTAAAGAAGCCCTCAGATTGCACCCTCCAGGGCCATTGTTGATGCCTCATCGAGCTCTTGAAACTTGTCAGGTCATGAACTATACAATTCCAAAAGATGCTCAAGTTTTATTGAATGTTTGGGCTATTGGACGAGACCCTTCGGTTTGGGATGAGCCGTTGAAGTTCAGGCCAGAGAGATTTCTAAATTGTGACAAGGATTTCAGGGGAAATGATTTTGAGTTGTTGCCATTTGGGGCTGGACGGAGAATTTGCCCTGGCGTGCCAATGGCTGCCAGGCAGCTTAGTGTGGTTCTTGCTACCTTAGTTCATTGCTTTGAGTGGTCACTTCCTGAAGGCAAAGATCCCCAGCAGTTAGACATGAAGGAGAGGTTTGGTATTACATTGCAGAAGGAACAACCATTGCTTCTCATCCCCAAATCAAGACGATACCAATAATAGATATTTTTCGCATGTATCTTTTGTTTCCTGAATCGAATGTTAACTAAATGTCTTGCTGCTATATGTCTTGTTTTAGATCTGTTTTTTTATGAGTACACATTCTTCTTGAATACATAACCAAGTGAATTTCGCTTGCTATAAATGGCAGTGGTCAATAGAGTCGATTTTACCATATTGAGTAGGGAAAAGGCTAGCTTCACTTTGTCATTTAAGCCAAACTCTTACCCTCATTCTTTTGCATCATTGTTTCAATTATCTTGCTCCTGCCATTTCACGCGAACAAATAATTGGGGTTGAAGTGGTGGAAAACTTAGGTCCCGTTTGAATTGCTAATTTTTAAATTTTTTGTAGAAAAATATGTTTTACTTATTTGATGTATGTGAGATAAAAAAAAGATTGAAAAATATGTTCACAAAAAAAGTACAAATTTTTCCTTAGAAAATAACATCCAGACAAATTTTTAATTTACTAAGCCATTAATAATCATAGAAAGTTAGGAACTTATTGCTTTAGCAACTAAATATATGTTACATTGAGTTAAAAGTAGAGTTGGTATTTGACTCTTTTATTTTCTTTTTCAAGCTTTGTACTAGTCAATCAACGTCAGGTAAATGTAAGTTCTCTAAGGTAATGTAGTAATAGTTAACGCTTTCAAAGAACATGTAAAGTGAGAGAAACATTTATAGTGAATATAATGTGCCCAACTCCAATGTACTTCTTTAAAATTGGAATGTACACAAAATTGTTTGATGTTTTCACAAGTTATAAATCAACTATTCTTGTCTTCTAGTTGGTTTCTACTATTTAAGAGAACGCAAAATATAGAAGCATTTGGTTAAATAGAAAATAGAAAAAAAGTAAAATTGAAGATTGAAATATGAGAACAATAAAATCTTTTTTTTTTTCCTAAAAGCGTGTTACGCTTAACAAATTTTTTGACTTTGCCACTACATGCTTATTTACTTTTAAGAAAGAACAAATTTATTTCCTAAACGAGAATCTTGAAATTCTCAAATGGCAGTCATTTGATAAAGCAAGAACACCGCTCCAGTAATTTATTCACGTATTTTTCCAAAACTCCACAAGCTAGTGAGTGAAATTGATTTCAAGTTTCTAATTGACAGTGTCAAAAATATTGGAAGGTTTTCTTTTACTTTTCATAATAGATACACGAGATAATGGATTCATTTCTTTTTTCTAGCTTGTCTAGACAATAGATTTTAGTATAATAATTTTGATAATTTAATGCCTATTAGATAGGGATGGCAATGGGGGCGGGCACCCGCGGGGGATCATTGGGGGGGGGTGAGGCAGGGGCAGGGGCAGGGGTAAATTTTTCCCCCCGTTTAGAAACGGGGCGGGAGAGTAGCCACCCGTTTGAAAAAATATATATATATATATATATGTACATAATTATATATATATATATATATATATATATATATAATGATATTATCAATTATACTACTAATTATAAATGTCTATTAATAAAAATTATTAATTATTTATACTAAATTTATTAATACATTTATGTTAAATTCCTAACTACACACACACACACACACACACACACACATATATATATATATATATATATAATGATATTATCAATTATACTATTAATTATACATGTCTATTAATAAAAATTATTAATTATTTATACTAAATTTATTAATACATTTATGTTAAATTCCTAACTACACTTAATACAATAACATTTTTTTCTAAAAAAAATACAATAATAATTTAGTGATTGTATTTGTATCAAAAGTGAAAACTTGATTATTTTAGTTATATTTGTTTTATCATATTAGATTGTATTCAAATAACCTTGTTTAATTATTTTTATGAGTTTCAATTGTGAAGTTACAATGAATAATAAATAATTTGTTGCTGTGTTGATTTTTTAATACTTGATTATTTGCTCAAATTTATTATAATGAAATTATATAATAAATTTTTTTAATTAATGAAATTATATAATAAAATTTTTTTAATCCCACGGGTGCCCTCGCATGTGACAGCCCCACCTCTCCCTAGGGCGAACTTTAGGGTATTAGCGGACTGCCTGCCCAACTCTCGCCGGGGCTCAGTCGATCAAAGAATTAGCAACTCAAAATAACTGGGGAAAAATAACTTCAAATTAAATCGTACAACTTTACTAACATATAACCGTCAATCAACTTTCCAAACTTAATACGGCAGCTAAAAGTCACACTTACCATTCCATACTACAATTACATAACATAAGTCAAACTTAGAAATTCAAGCTTACAAAAGTAAAAGGTAAGTCATCTTAACAAAAGGTTACAAGTTCAAACAAAACAAAGCTAAGAAAGCCCTCGACCGTTAGTCCATCCCCGATCTGTTAAGGAAAACAAAGGGAGTGGGGTGAGCTAAAACTCAGTGAGATTCCAAGTAAAGCAAGTAAACACATAGTCAAATTAAGGCATAGAATAATCAAGTAAATACCATATGATACAACAACAATTAACCACAATTCAATTCAAGGATACGGGTGGCTTTCAAAAGCCAAAATTCCGTTGAGCTTGATCATAAATGTCTTCGTTGACACTCCGTCAACACTTGTATACACAGAATATTAAGTCCGTAGAACACCACTTTCACCTGCCTCCGTCCACCAATCAACCCCCTACCGGGCCCGCACTTCATAACAGTAGTTAGGTAATACTCGAGTATACCGGTTTCAGTGAACAGTAAACAGTCCTCAAGATTTATCGGTTTTCTCGACCAAACCCTAACTGGCTCGATACGGCCGACTCACCTGTGAGGTTGGGTACCCAAACAGTAACAGTAGTCGGTGGAATATCCTCCACGCAACTTAAGCACAGTCACATATAGGATTATTTCATCCCATGGTAATTCATTCAATAAATAGAGTCTCAGTAAACAAACAAGGAAGGTCGAGTATGATGAAGTACACACTCGCCTCAATTTTGTTAAAACAGTGTTTGGCTCAAACAATACCAATTCAATAATTTCAAGTACACAAGTATTCCACATAACAAGTAACAGGTAGTGGAACACTCACCTGTCAAGCAAAAGTAGCGATCGATGTCAAACGTCTTAGTTATGACCACCTTCATTTCCCAAACCTAGGGCAACAAGTGAAATCGTTAACAATTAGATTCATGCCCCACTAGGTTAGGCTCAATAAGAGACCAAGTGAGTAGTCTAAACTACTTAATCCGTCATGCAAACAAGGTCCAAACCATGGTAAAAGTTGATGAGAAAACAAGTTTAGTAGATGCATGAAAGTTCGGCAAAAGAAAAGTTCCAATAGGGCTTAAGGGTTTCTTCTCGGGTTGCACAGTCTTGCCCTGGCAGTCTTAGGAAAACGGTCATAACTCACTGTAGAAAATTCGAAATTAGGTGCCGTCAGTGGCGTTGGAAACTAGACTCGAAGGGCTTTCCAACGGTACCAAGCTCACACTATGGTTCGTCTCATATCAACAACAGTAATTCAGACAAGGTGGCTGTTTTTCCAACCCTGGATCAACATTAATCTTATATCAAACTACTCTAGTTCTAGGGCTAACTTCATTAGTTTTGATCCAAATTCACCCAATTCACTCCTCAAGTGATCATATACAAGGATTCAAGTCACTTAGAATCAATGGAGCTCACAATATAACATACAACATGATTTAAGGTAGCCATAATGATCTCATAACTACAAGAGTCCTAAAACAGTCTACTAATGGTTCAAAAGCACCACTTTACTTGCTTCAATTCCATTCCAACTTGCTCATAGGCTTAACCAATAGTTAACCTAGTTTATTAGGCTTGATTAGGACATAATTTAACAACAAGATTGAGGGAAAATCCCTCCTACAAGAACCGGCCAGCCTAGACAAAGCAACCAGCCCACACTTTTCAACATTTGTTCAATTTTCATCCTTTCATGTTTTCTACTCAAATCATCATATCAAGTGGTAGTTCTAGCTCAAAAGAGGTTTAAAACATAATAATACCTCATAAACAAACATGAATAAGAATCAAACACTTCATCAAACACTTGGTGTGCATACTAAGAAACCTAGCTACTACTTGTTTACTTCAAGAAACTAACTCAACATCTCAACCAAACAACTTGTATCTTTGCTATTAACACTTCAAGTGCATGATCTATCATCAAAAACCAAGATTTAAAGAACATATACCTCTCTTGTGGTGAGCTTGAACCACCAAAATCAATCCACCAAAGTAAGTCTTCAAGCTTGAATAAAGCACTTAAAGTTAGAGAAACTCTCTTACTAACTCAAATCTTTCTCTTTTGATTGTTGTTCTTGATTTGCTATGGTAAGAAAACAAGATTATGTAGCTCACTCTCTCTCTCTCTCTTGAAGCCAAGAAATTCGGCCAACACTAAGAAAAAAAAAGGCCTTGGCTAGTTTAAATAATCTTCAAATCTTGGTTTCAATAAGATACTTGGCTAGGGTTTGCCACATGTCCACTTACTTGTCCAATTCTTTCTTAATCTTTGACTAATGGTGTCTTAACCTTTCCAAATGCACCAATCATTCTTTAACACCTCTAACTAACCTTTCCAAGTGTACCAATAATTCTTTAACACCTCTAACTAACCTTTCCAAATGCACCAATAATTAACTAACACCTATAATCCTACATGTAAGATTTCTACCACTAATATAAAGACACTTGGTAAAATGCAAGTGGTGTATAATTAAAATCAACTCAAGAAGAAAAAAAAATGTTTTTTCTTCAAGTAAAAAGGAATGAAGTGTAATGCATGAAAATTATTGTAACACCTAGAAAAGCTAATGTAAGGGCATACAATATATGATTTAAATCCTAGAATAAGGCAATTAATTTGGGGAAATTGTGCTTTTAAAAAAAATGAGGGTTCTCACACTCTCTCCCCCTTAAAGAATTTCGTCCTCGAAATTCTCACCTTGATCATTGAATAGCTTAGGGTATTTGGCGCGAATATCCTCTTCCATTTCCCAAGTAACTTCCTCCACCTCATGGTT